ACTTTTAATCACAGCCACATGTAAAAGAAAAGTCTAACAGATAATGGTTAAAACAAAACCTTCCTGCACATCTTTCCCTTCATTTTAAAGACAGCTGGAAATTCAGTAGCTTTGAGGATACAGGCATACCCCGGAGATATTGCGGGTTCGGTTCCAGACCACCGCAATAAAGCGAGTCGCACAAATTTTTTGGTTTCCCAAAAGTTACGTTTACACTATACTGTAGTCTGTTAAGTGTACAATAGCATTATGTCTAAAAATAAAAATTGCGAGAATTACCACAATGTGACGCAGACACACGAAGTGAGCGCGTGCTGTTGGAATAATGGCGCCGATAGACTTGTTCGACGCAGGGTTGCCACAAACCTTCAATTCGTAAAAAACGCGATATCTGCGAAGCGCAAGAGTGTTACTTGTTGAAATTCTGCCCTGAAATATAGTAAGTTTGGAAAGTACAATTAAAAGTAATCAAGTAACATGCTTAAACAACACTGTATCAATTGAATATGTTATACAGTGTAAAATAATATTAGGATGATAGATGAAGAAGCAGGAAACAGTAGTGGCCTGGACAGGCTGAGAAAGAGCATGGCACACCAATGGAGCCAGTCTCTGGGGTGGGATTTAAGTACACAGCCTTCAGAATGTGCTGGCCATCATACTGTAAGCATAAAATTAAATTGGAACTAGTATAACAGTAATATTTGTTATAAATCTGATGTTTTATGTCAGAGTACCTATTAATTACATCACGGTTAGCTGTTACATCATTGATTTAGAAAACTGACTACAGTGTAATGCCTACAAAGTACAGGTGTGTCAAATTTCACTTACTTGTTTATCACCATTCAGCCCCACTTAACATGCTGCATCTGTCTCGTTGCAGCAAGGAATTTGCTACCAGCAGTCACATACCACCCACAAGTGAAGACAATCACATTTCTGTAATGAATTCAGTGTGATGACGATTTCTGTCTTCTGGGTTGTTGCGCTGTGTAGTCTGGTAGAAGTTTACCAACGTTTCAGTGTTCCCTGCTGCCTCCATCATCAGGGCGATGAGTATGAAGATTTCTGTCGTCTGGGTTGTTGCGCTGTGTAGTCTGGTCGATGTTTACCAATGTTTCAGAGGTCACACTGCCTCCGTCATCAGGGCGTATTTTTTTCTAGAATAAAAATATTTAAAAGCTGAAAAATGTTTCATTCAATAGTTTCTGTGAAAGAATCACAATCATCATCTCCATCCCGTGGCTCAGAAGTTAAACCTTCTTCCTGTGATTCTGTGACTGAAGTTTCTATTTCAGCCTCTTCCTGGGAACCTTTTTCTGTAACAGGCTTTATAGAAATGTTGAAATCTTCCTCTCTCCTAACACTTGTCTCTGGTTCTTCAGATGTAGTTGAACACTCAGATCTTTCTTGTGATGCATCAGATTTTACTGACTCAACATACAACTCGCCTGAATGACGAAAGCCCTTCACGCTTGCCTTTACAGACTTGTCTGATACACTGGATCCAACTGGGTAATGAGATTCAGAACATAAATTTGATGAACTCCTGGGTGCAAGACCAAAATCTCCAATCACATATGTTGCTGATATCTTCATTAATGACTTTGACCTGAACAATAAATATCATCTGATAAAGCCTGTTTTCATTAACTTAACTCTTTCCACCATTAAATAGCCTGACTAGAAGTAAGACTAGACTACAGATACTAGGACAGCTACCCATACAAAGGCAAATTTTCAATTCCCCTTCTCCAAAGCTAAGCTATGATTTTATTTTTCTTCCACACACATAATGAAAGGGTGCAAACACTTATGAAAACCAAATATAAACAAAATGTACTTGACTATTCAGATTAGATGTTAAAGGAGTGTAGACAGACAGAGAAATATATTTCAAAAAGACTCCTTAGACTCAATGTATACTTAAGACATGCTTACAAACCATCTTCAAGAAGTAAAATATACAAACTGAATAATATAATAATAAAAAATCATACTTTTTCTCTTGTTTCTCGTGTTCTGAGAGGTCAGATGTGTTGAGCAACTGTAATAAGTTGCCAAGGAGATTCTCTCTGTGACTTAGATTCAGAGCTTCATCAGAACTGGGCTGTGTCTGAACCTATAAGCAAAGTGAAATGTTTAATCATGTTTAAGTTCACAAATCTGGCAATTCATAAATAACATAATCTACTTAACATTTTACTGACTTTGTTTCTCCATATATCTAAGTCTAATTAGCTTCAATTTCACAAACCTGTCTATTCATACATAATACAATTAACATTTTACTAATTTCTGTTTATTCACATACCTTTCCTTCTTTTATATAAATACTCTTACGTTACTTTACCCTTTTCATGTAAGTTTTCTAAATTCTAAAATTAATCTATTTGTTGGAACAAATAAAATAATTCAGTTACTGTCTCGTCATACAACTGTCAGTCTATGATTCAGTACAGCTTGCTTCAAGTCTGCATAGCACAAATTCCTTCAGCATAATATTTAAAAATTGAGTTTCTGCATCCAAGTATACATACAGCTTCTACACTACCATCACTGATCTGACTGCAAAACTGTAGGAACCAAAGAAAATCTGTAAATTCATTTCAAGTGAAAATGCCAACTGACTATTAACCTTCGAAGCCATTGCTCAGTTAAATAATATTATTCATTCCATACCTCAAAGAAAACACAACACATCACTGTTACAAAGATCATCAAATGGTTAATGCTGTTTGAGAAAATAATCACAGTTTGTTTATTATGAGAACCATGTAAAACCCATAAATACTATGGGCAAAATGAAAAATGAGTGACTATTAAAGCAGGTGGTACACGCAGTTACCAATGAGATTTTGAAGTTTTAATGTAGGCTATACCATTGCACTCAAAATTGTAACAGATATGTCCCTTTCATTCCTAACCTAACCTAATATACACCTCGTGTCAGTGAACTACTGAACCGAACTCTTCTCTATAAGCCTACCCTAGTAAACCAGTTGTGACATCATTAATTACATATGTTAAATATTGTGTACTGGTGTTCAATAACAAAGACAGAATTTACAAGGCTAAATGCAGCACATATTATGAAAGCAGTCTCCCTACACAGAAACTCAAGACATACAAATTTGTGGACTTCATTACATCAGAGCTATTAAAATTTAGTAACCAGTATTTTACCTTTAAAGCTTCCTTGACAGACTTAACAGCGGCATGAAGAATGTTTTGTAGCCTGAAGGTTTCCATGTTAGATTGCAGTAACTTAGATAGAGTCTCATTCTTTTCTTGCTCTGTTGCTTGCTGGTTCTCTTCCAGCAAGGTAATTTGCTTCATTGCTTCGTCAAGAAGCCGCGTCATGTCTCGCGTCTGTCGCTCCAGTTCTACGGCATGTTGTGCAGAATTCTGTAGTTCCCCGATATTTCTTGCCATATCATCGTATTCCATAGTCAAGCGGTTAATCAGCTGAATGAGAGAGTGAATACTTCAGCGCCTGCTCGAGTACGATCACAGCAATATTCTAGAAAGCCACTTCTAATTTTGGAATTACCATACAGTATTCTTAAAGGATTTAATGCAGTGAGAATTTTCAAGCCCATAAGACTTCAAAGAAGTATACAGACAATGAATCAATTTGTAGGATTTGAGGTTTTCACAGCAGTGAGTCTGAAGATGGCTGTCTTCTGGGTTGTTACGCCATGTACTCTGGTAGAAGTTTAAGACCTTACTCATTCCCCTGCAGATGGAGGCAGCAAGGCTCTCTGAAATGTCAGTAAACTTCTACCAGACTACAAAGCACAACCCAGAAGACAGCCAACCTCAAGAACAAATTTAATTTTTGGGAAGGTTAGATAATACCTTGCTTCAACAGACATTCCCACACAACAAAATCTGTTTCCACATTACAATCTCCATATAAGAAATGGCTTTAACACAGAATCACAAAATTATTTTATCTAAATTCCTGTCTATGTTCCACATTTCTAAGGCTATGTTCATGGTGACAAAGGCAATCTTAGGTTAGTGATATAATATTACCTGGTACCAAATTAAACCACAGTTATGTAATATTTACCTTATGTTGTGCCATGTTCTTAGCAAGTACAATATCCCTTCCCTCTTCACACAACTTTACTTCAAGACTTAATTTCCTGTCTCTCTCTTTCATTATTTTATTTTCCTTTCTTAGATTCCTCTGTGTTTCCAACATCTTCTGTAACTAAAAACATATGATACTATTTAAGTAATAATTCTAATATCTGTATCAAAGTTAAAGTGGTCCGTGGTGCTTAAGTAAGCAGCAGGTGATGCAGATCAAAATCTTCCAGTACTTTTAGGTTATGTACATCCTTGTGTTGTCATTCACTGTTGAAGACAACTCCCATGTATGGAGGATTATAGGGGTAAAGATATTATTCATATAAAATATGTAGCATTTCTGATGCTGAATCACAGAAACAGTGAATATAATAGTCTTAACACAAAGAAACAAGAACAATCATTATACCTGCTATGAGCAGGGTTGCTGGAGTTTTGTCCCATCTTCTCATTCTTCATTTTCAGGAAAGTGACAATAAGATAGATCAACTTTTAGTAACTCTATTTGAAGAAGCGTACTACAGATAGTTTCTGACTAAAATTAAATCACCATTTAAGGTTTCTCTGGCAGTGCTGGGTATAAAAATTGACAGAAAGAACCTTAAGTGGACAAAATCTAATATAAAAGAAAATGGAACTTGGACCACGCAAATTCAAATTCAAAACTTAAATGATAACATAAGTTGAGAAACATTAAACGGGAGAGGGGGGAGTCCCCTACTGTAGCTTCTGTTTGACTTATAAAATTATATTTTGTAGCTACTCTGAGGCATGATGCAACAATTACCTCATTGTTTACAGCAATGTTCTCCCTTACTGTGCGGTGTGTGGTTGCAGCAATTCGAACACGTGTAGCATCTTGGAAGTCGATGGACAACTGAAGGAGTTTTGCTTCCATTTCCTTTTTAAGTCTGTAAGATAAGAAACAGCATCACAACAATCCATACTGACACTTGTTCATGCACCCTGAAACAAACGCTGATCCTCTGGTTGACCGCAAATAATTCTTCGACTAAGATGAACTACACATTAAATTAAATTGCTGTTAAAGATAAAAAATTAAAATACTTCAAAACTTCACAATGAACGATACAGGACTGAATCCATGTTAATTTCTCAACTTATATACATACTTGTCTTTTCCAATAATGAACTTTCTCTCCACTTCATAGAGTGTTTGTTTATGTCTTAGTTCTTGTTCTGCCATGTCTTGTTCTTGTACCTTAAACTTCTTTAAGAGGTCATCGCGCTGAAGACGAAATTCCTCCAGCGAATTAAGTTTACCAGCTGTGAATTAGAAACCGGTGCATGCCAAATATGACAATCAAGGTTCACGTTATGTAGCAGGATGATTTTTAAAAAAATGCAATATTTAATCAAATAACATAGCTCTAATTCAAAAGTTGGAATTATATAATGTAAAATTAAATTAAATGCAGTTCTTAACATACCAATTCTGTTTCTCACCTAAAATGCTTTTTATAAAATACCCCCAAATCACCCGTTACTTCATTCGGTTATTACGTGCGTACAGAAACAGTACAAATTACAAGAGTTTACTTACTGAGCAGTTTGATTTCAGATGTCAGTTGCTCGTGCATGACTTTGAATTCGTGTTCCAAATTTCCAGTCTTCTCCATGTGCGTCGATCTTTCTTCATCCAGAGTCTGCACAGAAAATAGGATGTGTAAGAGTTTGGATACTCCTGAAATCTACTTTACAAAAAAAAAAGTTATAATACCAGACAGAAGGGATACCCTTTTGTAGTGTTTTGTTGGGAACCAAGAAAATTGTATTTTGTACCATAAATTGTTAGTTCACTCATTTATCAGTAGCCTGTTCTTCATAGCCTGGAACACTAAACATTCTCAGTCTTTAGAAATGTAATTTTACTGCGCACCAGTCTCACACTTCTTCTTCCTCTACTATGCTCACTGTGTCTAACAAGATTCTAAAATATCTGAAAAATTGTATTTACTCTATTTTGGAATCTTTCTTTTAATTTCCACCTCAGTACAATTTTTCTCCTAATGAATACACAAATCATATAAAATAAACAATATGGAAGATTTGATTTTATCATCTACCTTCACCAGTCCTTCTAACCGTTCCTTCATCTCCATGATTTCATCTTCCTTCTCTTGCAGCATCCTTTTGAGGTATGCGATAATGTCTGCCCTGTCTTCATCCAGTTGCTCATACTTTTTCTGGTATTCTTCATTGCTCATATCAAGTTCCAAGCATCGAGTCTTCATTCTACAAGAGACATGTCTTGAGACGTGCTTTTTATACTGTTGTGAAGTTACAACATAACATCAAGTCTCAAGTACACAAATTTGGACTTAAACCAGGAAGAGGTGTGTGCGCATGTGCGTGTGAGAGAGAAATGTCCCTGAAAAATAGTATGTACACAGGTGGTTCAAATTTGACCTGAAATTTTGATCATAGCACAAAGACTCTAAGATGCTGCAAGACAATAAACGATACAGAAGAAGAGTCTTATAAT